CTATTGACAAAAGGTGGAAAGGAAACAAGAACTCAGCGGGTTCAAAGGTTTTCTAACATGATAGAGAAGCTCTGTGTGTGAACAAGAAATTTTTTTTTTAGCCAGTGCATGTTACTGCTGTCATTATACTTAACATGGTATAAATGATGCTTGATGTCAGTGTTGTCAACCTCCCAAAGTGGAATTTACTTACAGGACACCCAAAAATCTACTGACACAACCAATGTTTTACTGACATAACTTATGACATTTACTGACAGAGCCAAATGTTTTACTCACACTTCAAAAAAGTACATAAAATGACCATTTTCATTGCAAAACAGTGCAAATGTCAATCTTTAAGCTGAACCATGCAGCTAGTGCTATTAGCAATGTGTTTGAGGTATAACAAAAGGCAAAAAACATATTTCTTCATTTACATAAAAGGTCAGGGTAATATAACCCAGCACAGAGTTTCCCCTTACATCAGAGTCTGCAGGATTCCACTTTACAGTACAAGGGGAACTGTGCGGACCCTAATGTAAAAGGGAACTGTGCGGACCCTGATGTAAAAGGGAACTGTGCGGACCCTGATGTAAAAGGGAACTGTGCGGACCCCGATGTAAAAGGGAACTGTGCGGACCCTGATGTAAAAGGGAACTGTGCGGACCCTGATGTAAAAACAGAACACTGTGGACTGTGATGTAAAGGAGAAATCTGTGGAGGCTGATGTAACAGGGAATGCTATGGACTCTGGTGTAAAGGGAAACTCTAATCTAAGGTGGTCTTTTCTCACCAGAGCCCCCCTTTCCCGCCACACAAGAGTCAACAGAGCTTCCCTTTACATCATAGTCCACAGAGTTCCCCTTTACATCAGACTCCAGAGTTCTCCTTTATATCACAGTCCACAAACTTCTCACTTACATCAGAGTCCACAGAGTTCCCCTTTACATTAGAGTTCACAGGGTTCCCCTCTACAGGGGAAACTCTGTGGACCCTGATGTAAAGGGGAAAGTCGTCTAAAGTCCATTTAAGCCCACTCGAGCTCTACCTGAGCCCGGCCGGCTTCGGGACTGCGCATGTGCAGTTTGGAAGTAGTCTAAAAAACATTTTATTTTTTACGTACAGATGCAGTCTGTAATGGACATTTATGGAGAGTGCAAAAATCAGACGATTTTTACAAAACTGTCAATAAATTTATAGATGATTAGCAACCCTGCTCAGTGTGATAGCTTACATTTATTAGTCTAGATCTGGCCTGAAACAGTCCCTGAACTCAAAGTATTGGTGACTATTCTCTATGTACCATAATTGGACTGACAACTCATGGGCCCCCCGGGCAATAGGGGATCATGGGGCCCCTGTGTCCTTGCCCACACTCAAAGCACACCCAAAAAAGCCTATAAAAAGGTACCAGGGGCATTTCATGGCACCCCCTACTGACCCTGGGCCCTCGGGCACTGCCCGAGTGCTCAAATGGTCAGTCCGCCCCTGCTATGTACAAAAGGTTGTGAACAAGTGACCATCACACCTATATGAACTTGTTTGATATCCTATTCCAAAACCATGGGTATTAATATGGTGTTTGTCCCCCTTTGGGCAATAATAGCCTCCAATCTTCTTGGATGGCTTTCTACAAGATTGTGGAGAGTTGGAATTTGTGTCATTTGAGGTACTGATTCATTCTAATGGTGTTTGTTGGGGTTGAGGCCAAAGGTCTGGCAGGCCACCTGAATTTCTCAATACCGAAACGCTGTAACAGAAGAGGGCTTTTCCCAAACTTTTGTCATAACATTGAAAGTGGACAAATGTCCAAAATATCTTTGTATGTAAGCTGTAGCATTAACAGTAGATATCACTAGGAACCCCTGAGCACAATAATTTGGACGGCAGTCCACATACTTTTGGGCATACAGTATAGTTGTGGTTGTCAAGCGTCCACAAACATTGGGCATTATGTATAAAAATGGGGGCTTCATATTTTCTCTATAATGTAGAGTATGGCCAGTTCTGAAGGTTAGTGCATATAGAGAACGTATGCGTAATTTTATTACCACATAGGTAGTAAGTCATTAACTGGCTTTTTCATAAACAGCACAAGGTGTTAAGTGCCAAGTCTATTGAACCAACCATAAACTATCACTTTATTAAACTCATTCCAGTACTATACGGATTATCATTGGTTGTCATAAGCAATTCAGTTTGCACTTAAATTATACCTAAATCCACTTTTTAAAATTGGGAGAGAGTAGGGAATGATTATAACCCGTCATTGTTTTATTAGCCATCTGTGTCTCATTGAGGAGATTTCCCTTCTTTTCCTGTTCTTCAGATGCAACTCCAGAGTGAAGGAAATCTCCCTCTTAGACAGTTCGCACCAAAACAATGTCTTCATTGGAAGATCTTAATTCAATTCAACTAAACGACCTAAAAAAATTAATTATTATGTGTACTTTTTTTATGGGTATTTGTTATTTATAATAATTTGAAGATAAAAAATACACTAGATAATGCTGAACAAATCAAACTTTTAAATATTTAAACAAATTATTCATCATTAATTAGAGTGTGGGTAAACTTGGTAGTTAAATATACAATGCTCAAAAAAATGAAAGGAACACTTTTGAAAATACATCAGATCTCAATGGGGGAAAATATCATGCTGGATATCTATACTGATATGGACTGGGTAATGTTAGGAATGTAAGGATGCCCCATCGTTTGATGGAAATGAAAATTATCAACCTACAGAGGACTGAATTCAAAGACACCCCGAAAATCAAAGTGAAAAAATGATGTAGCAGGCTAATCTATTTTGCTGAAATTTAATTTCAGCAACTCAAAATGGTCCTCAGTAGTTTGTATGGCCCCACGTGCTTGTAATCTGCCTGACAACGTTGGGGCATGCTTCTAATGATATGACGGATGGTGTCCTGGGGTATTTCCTCCTAGATCTGGACCAGGGCATCACTGAGCTCCTGGACATTCTGGAGTGCAACCTGGGGGTGCCAGATGGACCGAAACATGACATCCCAGAGGTGTGCTATTGGATTTATGTCAGGCGAGTGTGGGGGCCATTCAATGTTATCAATTCCTTCATCCTCCAGGAACTACCTGCATACTCTCACCACATGGGTTCAAGGATTTCATCCCGATACCTAATGGCAGTCAGGGTGCCATTGTCTAGCCTGTAGAGGTCTGTGCGTCTCTCCATGGATATGCCTCCCCAGACCATCACTGACCCACCACCAAAATGGTCATGCTGAACGATGTTACAGGCAGCATAACGTTCTCCACGGCTTCTCCAGACCCTTTCATGTCTGTCACATGTGCTCAGGGTGACCCTGCTCTCATCTGTGAAAAGCACAGGACGCCAGTGGTGGACCTGCCAATTCTGGTGTTCAATGGCAAATGCCAATGGAGCTCTATGGTGTTGGGCAGTTAGTACAGAGCCCATTAAAGGACGTCTGACCATCAGGCCACCCTCATGAAGTCTGTTGCTGATTGTTTGGTCAGAGACATTCACACCAGTGGCCTGCTGGAGGTCATTTTTTTTAGGGCTCTGGCAGTGCTTATCCTGTTCCTCCTTGCACAAAGGAGCAGATACCAGTCCTGCTGATGGGTTAAGGACCTTCTACGGCCCAGTCCAGCTCTCCTAGAGTAACTACCTGTCCCCTGGAATCTCCTCCATTCTCCTGAGACTGTGCTGGGAGACACAGCAAACCTTCTGGCAATGGCACGTATTGATGTGCCATCCTGGAGGAGTTGGACTGCCTGTGCAACCTCTGTAGGGTCCAGGTATCACCTCATGCTACCAGTAATGACACTCACCCTAGCCAAATGCAAAACTAGTGAAAACAGTCAGAAAAGATAAGTAGGGAAAAAAATGTCAGTGGCCTCCACCTGTAAATCCATTCCTGTTTTAGGGGTCGTCCCATTGTTGCCCATTTAGTGCACCTGTTGTTAATTTAATTAACACCAAATCAGCTGAAACTGATTAACAACCCCCTCTGCTCCTTAACTGACCAGATCAATATCCCAGGAGCTTCATTGACTTGATGCTATACTCTGATTAAATATATATATAGTGTGTAAAAAGGATGTTTGATCCTGTCTTCTCTGATCCTCCCCTTCTTCCAGTGTCCCCCTCTTATCTCCTGATAAGACATATCGTGTGGAGAATCATAAATATATAAATATGCAGCGCTAGTAAATGAATAAAATAAAATAAAACTTGCACTACATTATATAAAAACTGAGTCCATTAGTAGTGACACAATGAAGTGTTGTGTGCAAGCATTAATGAATCCGCAGTAGAGGAAATCTGTGACTTTTGTGCTCGTGAAGATAGACAAACATTGCACTAACCAGATAGCATAATTACTGTGCATGGAGCATATAAGACCTGCTCCACTCGGGACGTGTAATACCATAGGAATAGATATCATCAGCGTGTAGGCCACTAGGTGTCATCCATCTAGGTCAGCGGTTCTCAACCTGGGGGTCGCGACCCCTTTGGGGGTCGAACGACCATTTCACAGGGGTCGCCTAAGACCATCAGAAAACACATATTTCCGATGGTCTTAGGAACCGAGACACCGCTCCTGTCTCAGGCGATCTGTGGGCGGGATGATATGCTGCCCCTGTAACCTGGCCACACCTCCGGGATCACTCAACAGCTCCGCCTCCTTGCTGCTGATTGGCCACCGGAACTGTAGCTCAGGAGAGGCACACAGGCGGCCAATCACCGGCGAGGAGGTGGAGCTTGGAGAGGAGGAGCCGAGCGGCAGCGCGCGGAGATCAAAGAAGATCGAGGGAGCTGCAGGAGCGAGTGAAGAGAGAGGCCAGAGAAGGAAGACAGCTGACAGGTAAGTGCAAATTTTGCTGCTGCAGCCAGGTATGCAGGCTGTAGATGGGAGAGGGAGAGAGCGAGCCCAGGCTGGAGCAGGAGTCAGCAAGGTAAGTATCATTGGTGTCAGTGGGAGGGATAGTGCCCCATCATTGGTGTCACTAATACCAACGATGGGGCACTATTCCTCCCACTGACACCAACGATGGGGCACTATTCCTCCCACTGACACCAACGATGGGGCACTATTCCTCCCCCCACTGACACCAACGATGGGGCACTATTCCTCCCCCCACTGACACCAACGATGGGGCACTATTCCTCCCCCACCACTGACACCAAGAATGGGGCACTATTCCTCCCCCCACCGACACCAACGATGGGGCACTATTCCTCCCCCCACCGACACCAACGATGGGGCACTATTCCTCCCCCCACCGACACCAACGATGGGACACTATTTCCCCCCCCCACTGACACCAATGATGGGTCACTATTCCCCCCCCCACTGACACCAATGATGGGGCACTATTCCCCCCACCACACTGACCCCAATGATGGGGCACTATTCCCCCACTGACACCAATGATGGGGCACATTCCTCACTCCCACTGACACCAATGATGGGGCACTATTCCTCCCACTGATACCAATGATGGGGCACTATTCACTGACACCAATGATGGGGCACTATTCCTCCCACTGACACCCACAATGATGGGGCACTATTCCTCCCACCACACCAATGATGGGGCTACTGACACCAATGATGGGGCACTATTCCTCCCACTGACACCAATGATGGGGCACACTGACACCAATGATATTCCACTGATGGGGCACTATTCCTCCCACTGACACCAATGATGGGGCACTATTCCTCCCACTGACACACAATGTGGCACTATTCCTCCCACTGACACCCACAATGGGGCACTATTCCTCCCACTGACACCAATGATGGGGCACTATTCCTCCCACTGACACCAATGATGGGGCACTAATCCTCCCACTGACACCAATTGATGGGGCACTATTCCTCCCACTGACACCAATGATGGGGCACTATTCCCCCCACTGACACCAATGATACTATCCCCCCACTGACACCAATGATGGGGCACTATTCCTCCCACTGACACCAATGATGGAGCACTATATTCCTCCCACTGACACCAATGATGGGGCACTATTCCTCCCACTGACACCAATGATGGGGCACTATTCCTTCCACTGACACCAATGATGGGCACTATTCCTCCCACTGATACCAATGATGGGGCACTATTCCTCCCACTGATACCAATGATGGGGCACTATTCCTCCCACTGACACCCAATGATGGGGCACTATTCCTCCACTGACACCCACCAATGATGGGGCACTATTCCTCCCACTGATACCAATGATGGGGCACTATTCCTCCCACTGACACCAATGATGAGGCACTATTCCTCCCACTGACACCAATGGGGCACACCCCCTGACACCCACAATGGGGCACTATTCCTCCCACTGACACCCACAATGGGCACTATTCCTCCCACTGACCACCCATGATGGGGCACTATTCCTCCCACTGACACCAATGATGGGGCACTATTCCTCCCACTGACACCAATGATGGGGCACTATTTCCTCCCACTGATACCAATGATGCACTATTCCTCCCACTGACACCAATGATGGGGCACTATTCCTCCCACACACCATGACTATTCCTCCCACTGATGGGGCACTATTCCTCCCACTGACACCAATGATGGGGCACTATTCCTCCCACTGACACCAATGATGGGGCACTATTCCTCCACTGACACCAATGATGGGGCACTATTCCTCCCCACTGATACCAATGATGATGGGGCACTATTCCTCCCACTGACACCAATGATGGGGCACTATTCCTCCCACTGATACCAATGATGGGGCACTATTCCTCCCACTAATACCAATGATGGGGCACTATTCCTCCCACTGATACCAATGATGGGGCACTATTCCTCCCACTAATACCAATGAAGGGGCACTATTCGCCCACTGATGATGGGGCACTATTCCTCCCACTGACCCAATGATGGGGCACTATTCCCCACTGACGCCAATGATGGGACACTATTCCTCCCACTAATGCCAATGATGGTGCACTATTCCTCCCACTAATGCCAATGATGGGACACTATTCCTCCCACTGATACCAATGATGGGACACTATTCCTCCCACTAATGCCAATGATGGGACACTATTCCTCCCACTGATACCAACGATGGGGCACTATTCATCCCACTGATACCAACGATGGGGCACTATTCATCCCACTGATACCAACGATGGGACACTATTCCTCCCACTGACATCAGTGATGTGGCACTACTCCTCTCACTGCAAAATTACAGTTATGAAGTAGCAACGAAAATAATTTTATGGTTGGGGGTCACCACAACATGAGGAACTGTATTAAGGGGTCGCGGCATTAGAAAGGTTGAGAACCACTGATCTAGGTATACCCTTTAATCTCCAGATATGCCAGTCACAGCCACCAGGGGGAGGGTCACACACCAATCCAAGTCACAGAAACCTTCAAAAAGGGGCTCCCAAGGGAATGACGAGCCCAGAGAAAGCCTCCAATAGTGCAGTAGGTCTCCAAGTGCTAGATGGCATGCTTTTATTCTGATCCAAAGACTTCAATGTTTACTGAACCACTGACCCAAAATGCCAAAACTTTGACTTTTCTGTGACTTTACTTGTTGCATGCTTTTTTATCACTGGAGTACAAGACTGGGGAGGGGGCAGGAGTGCTGGCTCTGGCTCTCATCACATCCTGTGGAGACTCTCTGCACATGCTCAGTTTGGTGTGTATTGCTAGAGAGGTTTTTTTTTTTTCTTGGGAGAGTGCATGTAATCAGCACAGGGCCAATCAGCACTGTCCAGACAAAGGTCAGGGGTTCTGTATCCTCTTAGAGCAGAAAGAAAACGTCTCCTACAAGCTTTAACCAGTGCTCTGCTGAAGTCACAAGACTGCTCTAACTGCTGATGAGAAAAGGTATTTAGCAGTTTATATTTACTAAAATAATTACATTTCCATGTTCTGTGTGCTGTGGGAGACCAGATAGAGTGAATCTCCTAGATTGTAAGGACTAATGAGCAGGGCCCTCTGTTTCCTCTTGTGCCAAATTATATTGTAACTGTAATGTTCATTTTGTAAAGCGCTGCGCAAACTGTTGGCGCTATATAAATCCTGTATAATAATAATAATGCAGGGACCTGGGTTTAGTAACACTTTAAACCCTATCATGTAGTTTGGTAAGAGTGCCATATGGGGGCGCAAGTGGCTTATGCAGAATGCAATATTTTCTTATCTGCTCTGTGTTTTTGTCATTTTTTTCCCTTTTTTGAAGAATAGAGTGAATTATATTTGAAGCAGCATTTTTTAATGATGCAAAAGTCACACTGCAATATTGCTGGACTTCAGTTTTTTTCCATTTTATAATCAGAAAGTGAATTTTGGGCTGGCTACCCTCCCACATTGCCTTTTGTCACCAAAACCTGTAAAGTACCCATTTACTTCAATGTCATCCAGACCAACAAGGCAGCAACCAATGATAAACCAACATTTTCTGGTCCACCAGCATAAACGTAAAGCTGACCTCCAGGTATGACCTGTATTGCATACTTACATTGGTCAAACTTGGAGTTTGCATATCTCATACCTTGGGGTGTACTTGGAAAGCTGATAATCACTCTAGAAATCAGTGTGTACTCCAGTGATAGCGGCATCCCTCCAGGGTCTGTGTTGAGCAACTTCCCCTGTGCACACTGACCTTAGGCGGTGGGTCGCTCATTCTGCTCTCCTGCTATTCACAAAGAGCCTTGTACTCTTTTTTTCAGTTTATACAAGACGTTTAACTAATTAGATGACATAAACGGGGAGAAGCGGCGATGTCCTTATTCCCACCCCATCCAATCAGAAAAAAACTTGTATTCACTGAAAAAAATACAAGCTGTTCTATGAATGGAAGCTTTGCCAAGCACACAGCCCTCTGTGATCAGTGCACAGAGGGCAGCCGCTTGGCACAGTACCGGGAAGATTGTGGTTATCACTGTAGTAGCACTAACTACTACAATAATTGTCAGCTTCCACAGCAGCCCGTCAGGTATGGGATATGCATACATACATTGTGCCAAGCTGGACCACTGTAAATATGCAATAAAAATAATATCTGGAGTTCAGCCATAATGCAAACTGAAATCTGATTGGTTACTGCCTGTATTTTGCATGGCTTTTTGAGAAGTTCAATAATGGTAAAACTCACCAGTAAAATAATATAAGGTCAGTAGTATACTTATAGGGGTAGTAAACTGGGTTAATAAAAAACCTGGTCCCCTATAGGTAGGGGCAGACTGACAACTCATGGGGCCCCCGGGCAATAGGGAATCATGGGGCCCCTGTGTCCTTGCCCAAACTCAAAAAAGCCTATGAAAAACGTACCAGGGGCATCTCATGGGGCCCCCTACTGACCCCGGGCCCTCGGGTAGTGCCCGAGTTTCCAAATGGTCAGTCTGTGCCTGCCTATAGGTAATGTCATAATGTGCTAGTATGCATCTAAAAAACAGATCCCTCCAGAGGTGTGCTGTCACCACTGACATGGACATCATCTTCACCCGGTCTTCCTTCTGGGTTTGTGGGCTCTGGCTATTTGAATGGCCAAATCAACGTAATTTCCCTGCATGAGCGCAGGAGTCACAGTCACAGTTCAGCTCCCTCAATGGACGGCTGTCAAGCTTACCCCTAACACAGGTGGTCAGACACTACAGCTGGCTATAGCTGACTTCTAGGTTCTTCACCTGTAGCAGCCCCCTTTGTCATAAGGCAAGCAGGCCTACCGGTACTCGTTTGCCCCCAGAACCTATACACAATGCTTTAGTGCGTGGCTACCACACCGAGGCAGGCACAAACTGTGTACAGCAAACAGGTACTTGTGGTTCGCAGACAGGCAGAGTGGTTCAGTGACAGTCCAGGTACAAGCAGGCAAGGTTCAGAATAGTCAGGGTCAATCCGTAGTCAAAAGGCTGGCAGAGTTCACAGAGTAGTCAATATCTGATCTGAGGTTGTCAACGAGGGAATCCAATCTATCAGGTGCAGGAACAGAGCAGACAAATAGAGAGCTTAGAGCATGTTTTTTTTTTTTTTTTTTTTTTTTTTTAAGTCCGCAAACGTGAGACTGTAACGAAAAAAACCCGTAAGTGTCCGCAAAAAAGTGCAAGTGCAGAAACACACACACGAAAAACGTGCACTTAGGGGTGTGTTTGTCCTACCCCCGAAAGGGCTGGACCGTTCACCCGATCCCCCGGGGCACGAAGCTCCTGACAGGGACAAGGTTCCCATTTGGTCCTCCTGGCCAAAAGGCCTGGTGGACCACCGTTCCTTATGCCCA